CCGTTTGAGACCCACTGAGATAACTTAGACTAAAGTTAACTATCTAAACACTCAGAGAGTCCTTTAGCTCACCTGAGCCTCTCAGTCTGAGAGGAGAGCTCTCCTCCAGCTTGTTGAGTAACAAACAGCTCCGTATGTCCGTTAGTGCAGCTAGCTAACCAGATGCTAACAACACGGTCCCTGCTGCTGGCACCGGTCCCTCTCTCTCCCCCTCTCTCACACACACTAAATGCGCTATTTCCGCACACACACAGAGCCGCGTAAGAATGACACAAGCACAATTTTATTTCCATGCAACTCTCTGATTGGTCTGGTGTCTTGCCTCTGTTGCATTCACTGAACACGGGAAATTACAGTCCTGCGTCCTTTCTAGTGTCTTGATGAGGTTCACGTAAAGCACGGTTAATGTATTATACTATTGAGGTAGAATTGTCCGGGGCTACATAAAAAACATTCGGGGCAGGCCAAAATATTATTTTACCAACAATGTGGAATTTATTGGCTACATATTACACAGATTATGCACAGCGGGAGCAGCAATAACCGTCAAATAATAATTCAGACAGGGGAGCTACGCACCCCCTGCCTGCCGCTAGGGGTGCTGCAGCGCCCTCAGCACCCCCCTTCCCGCGCCCATGCTTGTAGATAACATTATTTGGCAAATTGTTGTAAGATTCTTTGGTGCTTTATTTAGCACATTATGTTGACACTGTATCTTTGACGATTGTCTGATCACAATAGTGATATTTGGATTTATTTGTTATTTTCAGGTAAATCAAGTTTATTGTTTAGTACATTTTAGTCAAGTGGAATAGTGTGGGAAAAGGTATGTAGGAAAACGTCACCTAACCACATGTGGCTTCACAAAGCTTAAACCCCAGGATTATCTACTTCACAGGGGTCTAGGATAGGTCCAGATCCAGGAAATATTTCGCTAACATCAACTCCGCAAATTCAAATTTTCCTAGAACAGAGTTGTGTATGGGTGTGTTCTCACATTGTTCCTCAGACAGGGTCCTCTCTACAGGCAGGTGTTTCCCTGCTGACTGGATCTTGTCTGGAGCCACTTCCCCAACCTGTCAACAGATCATTAACATGACACACCAGCAAAAACACGGAGCGCCACTTTCTCTATCATTTTTCTATTGTCTTTCTGTGCTTTCCGTTGTGAGAACAGAAATTGCATTTAGCAGTCACACTGTAATTGCACTATTTAAACTGGCAAATAAATATCAACAGCATCAGTTCTGCCATCTCCTTGTCGTACTGACCTCTAGCTCGTTGTCGTCCATGCTGTGTGTGTGTGTGTTGTGGAGCTCAGGGTTGTTGGCCATGTCCAGCAGCTCAATGACCAGGTTACGGGTCAGAAGCTGTGTCACAAATGGATGCTGGAGGAACAAGAATCAGATTATGTCGATGAACAATAATACAAGAAATGTTTTGATCGCAGAAAATCACGTCATCTTTCTCAAAACTCTTCAACAGACCAGAGAATCAAAGGTCCCTGGATACATACAGGTTAAAAATAGGACTTATTGCATTCATTAATAGTGCATATATATGAAGATGGATTGCTAGTTAACTGCCATTGATAAATGACGAGCTATAAAGAGAAAGCTAACCTGCAGTAGTGTCTCGGCGGAGGGCCTTTTACGAGGGTTTTTAATGAGAGCCATCTTCACAAAGCTCTGAAAAGCTGCTGACCTGCGGAGAGCAGAAAAGTGGGAATTAATTGTACAGCGAACAGATGTGGATAAGATTCAAGGAATTAAATAATTGCTGTGATTCTAAAAGAAACCCAGACCCACCATTTGGATTTATCCTTTAGTCTCGGAGGCTGGAAGTTGCTCTTGGACATCAACATCAGCGCCCTGAAACATTGTTTTAAATGTCACGGGGCTGGAAAATGTCTTAAGTGTTTACATGCATACTGACTGTCCAAGAATAAAATACACATTACATAACACAAGTCTCTTCTGTTAGTCTCTCTGCTTGGAGTCCATTAAATCTGTCTGATTCCATCGGTCTGACTGTCTATTCTTTTTGCTGACTCGCCTCATTGGGTGGAGGTCAAACATGGGTGGTTGGAGCTCAGCCAGCTCGATGGCGGTGATACCAACAGCCCAGATATCACACAAGTGGTTGTAACCGCCCTTTTTCTCAACTGCTGCCACCTCTGGAGCCATCCTGCACAGAGGAGAAGGAGAAAAGTAGAAAAACATCTGATCTGACACTCTTGTACACAGTATGTATCAGATACTGGCCATTTGATTTGTTGATGCATTTCTCATTATTTTCTTATAAACAGCTGCCGACTATAGTCTATTAAGTGTAGCAACAGGTATGTATGAGTACAAAACAGTGTTAGTGTTAATCGTAATAAGAAACATGTCTGCCTAACTGTGTGGCTTAATTTATTTATTTTTAAATAGTTTTAGGCTTCAATAGAGACCTTTGACACTGAGGAAGAGGATATATAAGACGTTTCATTTACACAAAATACTTGTTCGTAGACTTTTTTTCTTAATTTGGCTATGACCAGTATATTTGTTGGCAATATAAAAAAAATGACACCAGTTAAATATTGGAACTGATTTACGACTGATTAATTGATGGAGTTCCTCAGGGCAGCATCATTGGGCCACTCTAATTTACCTTATACAGTATAGACTGTATCAACAATATTGCATTGCTAGGTGCTTTTACAAAGAGCAAACATACCCTCTTTCTGCCCTTAAATTAATTCATTTTCATTCTAGACCTTGGGAATAGTATGTGTAACAAAATATTGTAATATATATATATATATATANTTTCATCCTCGTGATGTATGACTATATGGGACTTGTAGTCGTTCCTCTCCTTGAGAAATTTCATCTCTTGTCGATGTTATGAACTTATATGTGGACTTGTAGTCGTCCTCCCCTGAGAAATTCATGCTCTGTTGATGTAATGACTATATGTGGACTTCTAAACCGAGGTGGGGGGTTTTTTTGTTTCGACCATGAGCAACAAGTAAAACCTTTTCCTCCTTAGACACAAACGACCGAAAATTCTAAATCTTTATCTTAATAGCAAAGACAGCCCGGGAGATTCGGTGAGATTCTTTTTCTTTCCACCATTCACAAGACATCCGTACAAAGTGCTTATAGAGGGTTATAAGTTTTAATAACTAAATACATGTGCGAAGGAGGGAAGTGAAAATAGTTGACCAAAGATTAGTAATAATTTTTATACAACTATTCTTAAACTTCACACAGACTTGAAAGTAGGGTTACAGCCATAACGTACTACATATTACACAGTGATGACAATACAGAAGTAACACAATATTTTACAACTACAACGTACTCCAATAACAAATAAAATGCAGCTCATTGTTTATACAAATTAGAGGAGACGAGGAAGTGTTAGTTGTCTATAAAAACTGTGTGAAAATTTTTTTACTAAACAAAGCGTCGTCGTTGTAACCATTACAAACCCTTATATAAGTTCGAAAATTAGTGGTTAATTAGTATTCTTTTTGTTGTCTGGGGATTGCTCTTAAAGGTTTTGTGACACACACACAACACACACACACAAACACACACACAAAAACACACGACAACACTACACACACACCAACACACACACACACACACACACACCACCATCCACACGCACACAGCACTCCTCCTCCCCCCCTCCTTCTCCTCCAAATAAGGTCCTTACAGAGTGAGGTGTCTATCCAAAGGTCCCGTTGTCACATCGTCGCTAGGTAAACCTTTCTCGCTCCTTACACGGTAAAAAAAAAAGGACAATAGCACACACACACAAAGACACACACACCCACGAAAGAAACAAAACCGTATTTGACAGAAATTCCAGAAACTACGAGGAAAGAGGGGGCTAAAGAGAGGGGTGGGAGAGGAGACACTCATCTATGCGTCTTCTTCTCCTAACCAAAAGGGTTCAGTGAGATTCATTGAGGGGGGGTGATTACGTACCTTCGAAAAGGTGGTAGGATGCTGTGTCGATGTGGTTACTCCAGGCCGTTGTCTTTCTGCCGATCGCCCGGATCGTACATCGAAGAGACTCCGATTTTTGGAAAACCGCACTGAGCTGGATTGCCACCCGGCTGTCGATGTGGACGACGTTGCTGTGGTTCTGGAAGATATCCTCTTTGTTCGACGTCAAAGTCTTTGTTACGTTTTATTTTTGTGCTGTTTACACGTTTTTTGTGTACGTTTGTTTATTTGGTGAAGTGGTTGAACTGTTGTGTACGCGGTTAGCTCGTTGCAAGCATAAACATCATCAAAGACACCGTCTCGAAAATCTTTGCGACGCGTACAAAGGAGTCCAAACTACTACTATAAAACATAAACGTCACAAAGACCGTCGTAAACACAAATTATTAGAGGTAGTCAAAAACTATGCGTCGGTGCAAAAGGATGATGCCGTACATAGCAACCGGCGATTACACAAACGTGGACAGCCGGTGGCTGAGGAAAGACATAACTGGCGTAGTAGTGTGGTCTCCCTTCAAGTGACGATGGTTGTAAACCGACCAAAGGGTGCAAACGTCCGCCGCTTTATATTTCCTTTATGTTGACCCTTTCTATTTCCAGTCTGAACTGTCTCGAGGTAAAAGTAAAAAAGGTAAATTACTCCCTTTGCTGGGACTCTCAACCTACTATGCGACTCAGCCGACAACCTTTCCGAACGTGCCGAAACGTTTCCGAACTGTGGGGTCTTCCTGTAAAGGTAAGTTTCAGGAGGACGGGAAAAAAAAAAAAAAAAAGTCAGAGTAGGCGTCCCTGCCCAGTGACACTTACTTTCGAACGCAAACCGAAATGTTCAAGTTAGGGCGAGGAACCAGAAAACAAAAACAACGAGTAAATTGAATGCCGAGTGAAACATAACGTCTGTTTCAACTTCTCTACTGCGTGCGGGTCTTCTGCAGCGGACAGCTATACTTCTAGCGGTGGTAGTTGGTGCCGTAAGGTCAGCGACAAACCCTGTCGTCGACATAGTTACCGCATTCACACTAGTTTGCGTCACGTATTTTTTTATGAGAATTTATTATTGAAGCAAAGTTGCTAAACATAATTTCGTAACATAAACTTTTTTGCTTCCCTTGCGGTCGTAAGCATTTTTGCAGTCTTTAAAAACCAAAATCAATATAACGTCGATTTATCTCCAACAAAAGGAAGCAGACTTTTCCTAAACGCCGATTTTCTTTATTACCTTTCGGAAAACTCATTGTGCTTGTAAATTTATTGTGCAGACTAGTCTTTAATAATAATACAACACTTTCCGAACAGAAAAATGCTAGTCTAGTACTTTTTGTTCCTTGTTGCTTCCAGTTTGTTTCAGGAAGAAACCCTTTTCATTTTACAAAACCTTAGATAAACTAAGTAACAGATGTCGATCGTCATTGCAAAACTGATTGTTTATATGAGGTTTGCTCTCCTGCTGATGTTCAGGTGTATACCAGTATGTAGTTTCTCTACTTTAAAGAGTCCTCTCCTGCTGATGTTCAGGTGTATGTCAGTATGTAGTGTCTCTACTTTAAAGAGTTCTCTCCTGCTGATGTTCAGGTGTATATCAGTATGTAGTGTTTCTACTTTAAAGAGTCCTCTCCTGCTGATGTTCAGGTGTATATCAGTATGTAGTGTCTCTACTTTAAAGAGTCCTCTCCTGCTGATGTTCAGGTGTATATCAGTATGTAGTGTCTCTACTTTAAAGAGTCCTCTCCTGCTGATGTTCAGGTGTATATCAGTATGTAGTTTCTCTACTTTAAAGAGTCCTCTCCTGCTGATGTTCAGGTGTATGTCAGTATGTAGTGTCTCTACTTTAAAGAGTCCTCTCCTGCTGATGTTCAGGTGTATATCAGTATGTAGTGTCTCTACTTTAAAGAGTCCTCTCCTGCTGATGTTCAGGTGTATATCAGTATGTAGTGTCTCTACTTTAAAGAGTCCTCTCCTGCTGATGTTCAGGTGTATATCAGTATGTAGTGTCTCTACTTTAAAGAGTCTTCTCCTGCTGATGTTCAGGTGTATATCAGTATGTAGTGTCTCTACTTTAAAGAGTCCTCTCCTGCTGATGTTCAGGTGTATATCAGTATGTAGTGTCTCTACTTTAAAGAGTCCTCTCCTCCTGATGTTCAGGTGTATAGGGGGAGTGTGTGGGAGAGAAACACTCCCACACAGGGATTTGAGCCTTTGCAGACCATTTACATGCACACAAACCGATAGCACACACTAAAGGAAAGGGAGGGCACTGAAAAGCAGAATAAGGCCTGTATAAATAAAGTAGCACTTTAAAAATACATTTCAATTGTATGTAACACTAGAACTACACTCAGAATGCTTAACAATTATGTGTATTTATACCGTGGTACATATCCTGAAGTGAGCCCCCTCCGCAGTACTCCATGCAGATCCACAGCTTGGTGTTTCTGGAGAGAGACACACAACTTTTATATTGGTGTTGGACATGAGCTCTGCTTACTCTCCAGTCTATCAGGGGTTGTGAAAGCCAACATTAAAGCAGTCCGTATAAAATCAGTCACTCCCTAAAATTCCTAAATTAAACACATCGCCCACAAATACATACAGTATCATTGAGAACAATCACTGAGCACTAGAGCGAGTGGGAGAGGAATCCAGCAGCAGTGTGGGGAAAATGAAAGTCAAATTCCACATATTCAAGTCCACCAACAATCCCGGGAATCCCTCAGTGGACAAGATGAAGCGAGGTACCTGTGGTAGCTGCCGAAGTAGGACACAATGTTTTTGTGCTTGCACTCCCTCATCATTGTGATCTCCTGCTGGATGGACGTGATGTCATCACCTGAGAGGACCCACATAGTTTAGTGTCTTTTCTCACAAAACTGTATGGTGATAGGGAAGAATATAGACCAGTATAACTTAGAGTTAAGCTAGTAGGACAACTGGAAGTTATAGCATTATATTACAAATATTTTTCTCTCTTGTGCTGCAAAAAGCTTGGGGTGGTAACTTTCTATATAAAGTTTGTAACTTTATCCTGAGAATTTAGACAGATAAAACAAACCTCATATTTCATACACTGAACTTGTGTTCCCTCTTACAGTGAATTTGCTTAGTGAGCTGATTTCTTTGCAGACAGTATAGAAAATATGATCACTAACTTTTCAAATGTATGTACGAGCATTTCATCATTGCTTTAGGATAGACTTAAAAAATGGAACTATTCCTTGGTTAATAAATTCAAACTGCAAAGAAACAGAAGGATACTTTGGGAAATGTGAGTAAGATAAAATAAAATAAACTAATATATGAAATACTGTGTAAAATCGATACTGTTATTATGTAAAAAAAAAAATAGACCTAGCAAAATAATCAATCATTCATCTTAAAAGGTAGGATAGGTAAGAATGGAGAAACCAGCTGGAGTGCGCTAGAATTTGAAAGTACGCAGCCGAAAAAAATCCACCCCTTCCTTCAGACTTCCTTACAGAGCCCCTCCTCCAACACACACGAGCGCGCACATGACCAATGAGGGCACGAGATAAGTTTGTGCACAGATGGAAGGCTGACAGGCAGGTAGGCCATCCAGTTACTTTAGCCGGGCCGGCTCAGATGATTGGTCGTGCTTTTTACAGTACTACGGCTTCCACAGCTGAGACTGCCAAGGCACACAATTGTCAAAGTATTTAATGTATTCATTGCTATCGGGATGTTAAGAGCATTCCATGGAATATAACAACAAGTGTTTCTGAAGTGAATTACCTATACCTTTAACATATAATACAATATTGTTAACAATCAATGTTAAAAACATAGTCAAATATACATTTGGAGGTAGGCTATATCAGAATAAAAATAATACAGATACAATCAAAGACATGTCAGCAGCTTGCATTTTCTTCCCTTTTAATCTCTATTGTATTATAGTTTACTTGTTCACATATACATGTAGCTTAGCAAAAAGACTGGAAACCAGAGGGAAACTGCTAACCCTGTGTGAGCCTAAGTCTTCTTATGAAAGCGATATTTATCTTCTTTCCTAACTTACATAATTACAAAAATGTACTGTAACTCACAATTATATTCAAATGATACATGAATCAAACACTTATCGTGTGTGACATACCAGGGTCCAGCTTGACAATCTTGATAGCTGCCACTTCAGACGTCCTGATGTTACGAGCCTGAAAGGGAGGACAAATACATGATTATCTATGCAATAAATTAAAAAAAGAGTTTATACAAATGTAGCCACCTTCTCCAGACCCAAACTGACTTTTTTAATTTCATTTTTTTAACGCAGTAGGTGGGTAGCTGATTTATTAAAGAAAAATACAGTTTTTGCTTATGAATAATGTACTAAACTAAAACAGAATTTGTAAAAGGTATGTACATTGCATCTAATGTCAAGGTCATCCAGAAGTAGTGGAAAGTAATCAGGTGACATTACCTTTTTATAGTGATTCTATGATTACCTGATTACAATATTTAATTTATTATTTGTACACGTTATTAGTAATTGCAATAGAATATATTTTTAAATAAACCCTCCAAACCTTGGTTATGGGTAACTTCTTTGGCAAGTATGACTTTTTCCCATGCATAATGTCATTTCACTAACTACATATCTTCTCAAGTCAAATAAGGTAATACTTCAGCTCCTCTGCTCATGTAAAGCCGAGTGTGTGTGCGTCACACGTGCACCCTGCTGTGGTTGTGGTTAGGCCTGACTGTATGTTGTGCCTCTCACAGCTGGTATCAAGCTGCTCTATGCCCCGACAAGACATATTGTGTTCTGCAAGATGGCTTTGCATTTCATCACATACCTATAACTTCAGACGACATGTCAGATAACACCAGAAAGAAACCGTTAAACCGTTAAACCACTAAACCACCTATCTAACACCCTGACCATGACTGTGAGCGTACAAAGACACTCTTAGCCACGAACAAACCGTTACTTGCAGTCTTACTCATGTTCAAACTGTTATTCAAAAATGTGTTTTTATGAATTTACTCATAAATGTTCATTTTTTAACACATACTTATAAATGTGCAAATTTTTGCTAAGTACATGCTAAGGGGTGGGACATCTTCAAGCGAGCCGGCGAGCTATCCAATCAGAGCAGACTGGGCTCTGGTTGTCACAATAAAGGCGCAAAATACTAATATATAGCTGAAATGAGCAGAACCTAGAAAAGAAGCTATAGCTATGATGGTTTGCCAATTAGATGGGGCGTACTTGTGCGAGCAAATCTCAAAAGAAAAGGAGATTTAGGATGAGAAAACTATTTATTTTGAATTACGTTTGACACTTTGGCAATATTGTCTGTGTCATCCATTATTCATGCCAATAAAGCACATTGAATTGAATTGAGTGCGATTACATTGTGCTGTGGCTGCAGCACCTGCCTACTCCATCAAAATAAGAAACCTTGGCATGGACCCAGCTGCTCAGTGTGCTATCTTGATTAGTTCAGCCTGCTGTCTCACCTTGACTTTGAGCTTGTATTGATTCCAGAGGGAATCAGTATTAATAATACCATTGGCACAAAGACCTCTCTTACAGGCAATTCCAGGCAAGCCCCCTTATGAGTCCACGAGTGAGACTGACAGCAGTATCAATTACTAAGGAGTTATTCTTTGACTTACAATAAAACGTGTGTTTATTGTAAGGGTCAAGGAGTCACCAAACACATTTTAATGTATGATCTGGAACCCCTACAGATCCATAGAAGAGTTACCGTCTTGTTAAATGGATAGTCCAACTGAAGGACTGACTAATCAACCAACATCATCATCGTTAGAAAAAGCAACACAAAAATGATCAGATGGAAATTAAAATTGGCTTATTTTAAGGCCACAATGTGTAGAGCTTTATTTGCGATCTTTTGATTATTCTGATGGCATTGTTTTTCTAAATAACGTATATTTTTATTCGAGTGATAGTAAAGTATTATGGGTTTTTATATCAGTGTCCTTGGTTGGATGCTGTTGGCAGTAGTCTTTGATACTATCATTAAAAGAGGAAAGACAAAATGTTTTGAATCCAATGAATGGCTATGAGGTCATTCATTTCTCACATAAATCACACTAAAAGCTCGATTTGATATTAACTATTCAACAAGCTAGCTAAAAATAAAGACAGGGAAATATATCGATATTATGCTCATATTGTGATATGAGACAAGATATCGTATTAAATGATAGATATCATCATACAGCTGTATGTCTTTATTTCTGGTTTAAAAGGCTGCGTTACAGTAAAGTGTTGGAATTTCCAAATTTGTATTATAGGTTTGTATCCAACAAGTCATTACAGTATATCCACACTACTGACAACTATTTAATAAAAACCTCATTGCAAAAATATTTTTTATGAAAGCACCGATAGTCAACCCTACAATATCGTTGAAATATTTATAGAAATATTTGGTTAACCTTCCTTTTGTCCTTTAGACCCGTTTCTAAATATTTTGATGTCACATTAAGAGGGTTATTTCATCTAATGTCCACAAAAATAACACGGATGGTTCCAAACTACGTTCCTTGAAAAATGAAGGATTACTAAGTCATTGAATTCTGGGAGTTGTATTTAAATGTATAGCATCTGTGGTCAACAGGTATCAAAAATGGTTTACGTTCTTCTGATCAACACAGATTTTGGTTTAAGTTATTCTATATGATTTAAAAATATTTAATTCAGGAGGATAAGAATTGCAGTTGACGGGAAGACAACATATCAAAATAAGCCAAACAAAATATCACCCAGTCTCTATCATTTTTCACTGCAGCAACTTCAGATGTAAGTTCACTCCATTTTAATGTCATGGTTTTTTTTTGTTGGACAGTTTCTGAGGGCCTCGGCACATTCCGTACAGAGTGCAGAGCTTTAACACTGAAGTCTAAATCTATCTGTCGAAATATTCCACAATCCTAACCAGTTCAACCCGTCGGGGGAAATCTGTGACCCACATGTTCTCACAACGCTTTATCAGAGGTGATGGTGGATGTTGTTTAGAAACAGCTATACTGTGCTTTCAGCTTCCTCTATTCTTCCAGGGAACATCACTCATCCCCATTCAGCTGAACTGACGTCAGATGGACTGATTCTCAATCTGGGCATCCAAAACAAAGAGGCAGCCACCAATGGGATAAGCAGGTCGCCTGAACACAACCTGTGGCTAGGCTGCTGTCACTTCCTGTTTTCTTTCCTGTTCTAACACGGGCTTCCTGTGACTACAGTAGATAGTTACGTCTCTCAGATGGTTTTTACATAGCCAGGCCTGAAATAACAGAAGTTTAGGGTTTCATGCAAATTTGCAGAGGAAGCTTCACTTTGACCAGGCACCGAGATGGCTGAGCGACTAATGATATTCAGTCTTCGTCCAAATTGTCATTTCTTTACAAAGAGACCACCCTGTTTCATATTGAATGCAGATGTAAAGCATTGGGCCGGAATGGCTTCTATAAAACACAATGTTTTTTTGAACAAACCTAAAAGTGGTTGATGAGGCGATATAATGTTAAATATGAAGTTTTGAGTTTTTTATTTTGCGCTCAATAAAGTAAGAATGTAACTTTTGAAGTAGGAAACAAACTACTTATCTCACGGATTGAAATGTTTAATTAAAAAAACACCCTCAAGTCTCTGGGGTTTTGATGCTTTGTTGCTAATGTTAGCTAATTTTAGACAGATGACGATAGTAATTGTAAGAGCCATTTAGGCACATTATTTTATGGTAATGAATTATGTTTTTGTGCGTGAATTGAATATTCTTTAATTTAACTTAAATGAGCTGAAATACTGTGAATTATTATTATACTGTTTTGTAACGTGTTATCTTGCTTATGGAAAGCTCTAGTTTATGTTTTGTTATTTATAGAAAGCAATCTTAGGGGCGTGCTCGGGTATAAATGACGCTGCCAGCATGACACAGCAGGAAGTCTCGAGAGCCAAGTTGGGAAAAGTTTTTGACCGTACAAATCCGTAAGACCGAGGGATCTTGTTTGTTTGTTTTTGTTTTAAATACTGTGCAAATGTTGCACGTCGGCAGTGGGCCGCCAGCTGATGTTGAACCTCTAAATAAAGCACCTGAATGGAACGAGCAAGTATCTACTTTTTTGAATATACGCGAGTCAATAGTACTCGAACTCGCCTCCTAGACTAAGTGGCCTTTCAACATTGATTTTCTTTTGGACAATTGGCCACTACATTAAGTCAAAAACTAACCGACAACGTCGTGAGGATTACTAGCGTGTAGGAACCTACTATCACTGGAATTGTCGGATGTGGATCTGATCGTGGCTACTGGAGCCACGGCAGAAACAAAGTGGATCTGATCGTGGCTACTGGGGCAAAGGACCGTTTGGATTATCCTCTACCGTGTGGACATGGACTGCAGGCTGTCACGCTACTCTGCATGCCTTTCCGTTGGAGTTCGAGCCACTGGGTAAAACAGCTGTTGTCTTTTAGTCAGCCGAACCGGTTGAATAATGTCGGAAGACAGCGCCAATGAGGGTGCGTTTACGGTCGACGCCCACAAGAGGGCAGCAAAACCAACAGAAAAGGCCATGGAGCAGCGGCTCCAGCTCTGCATCAATGCAAGGAGAGGTAAATTAAGACAACTCACCGCCAAAATGAATGAAGTTGAGCCTTTAATGGGCAACAAAACCCACCTGTAACCGTTGCTGGAAGATACCTGCCTCAAAGATTGACGAACTTTTCAAGGCAGCTCTTTGAAGACGTCATCTAACAAAGACTTCGTAACTAAACGCTCAGTGACCACCCTTCTTGTTGCTTTCTTATCGGAACGAAGAACAGCAAAAGAGCCATGATCACAGAGAGCTGGTTTGACGCCTAAACCTCAGAAAGGTTCTGGACTTTTTATTAATGCCGATGTGTGGATCATTTGTGTGTCACTTTACAAAGAATAGCCACAACCTGCAATGAGCTTGTCCTCTATGGATCGTGTAATCTGATGCGTCGGCCAGTTATCTACACCTCGTCCGCAGTGGCTTCATCCGCTTCACAGCCTCCTCAGCACGACTAACACCCCCGTCTAGCACTACAGGCATCAAAAAATCCCTGAGCCTGGCGCGTGGTGCTCGTAAGCATGCGTGCGACTTTTTTGCTGCGCCCCGCAGCCCCACATCCACTCACATCAGATGAATGACACTCCCCGCCCCATCACCGACAGATCACAAAGCAATAGCAAATGTAAAAACCGGAACGCTCAAAACTGTCTAATAAATCTTTCTCCACGCGCGCCCCACCTACCAGTTTCAACCCCTGTCTCCACGTAGGCCTTACCAATTCACGCAACAGGATAAAATAAACATGGAATCTCCACCCTCATGACCCTGAACTCCCTCCCTCGGTTTGGGTACTCACCCGGTAAATTTTATAGTTTATGGTCGTTGTAAACGAACCCGAAGAGTAAATTTGTAATACACCCTGATGATGAAACATAAGACCGTACAAGCTATTAATATTCTTCATATGGAATATGCGTGAAATGACCCTTCCGCGGAACGCTCATGTGCTCTTCACCCAGCTTGCGCTATCAGCGGTTTCGCGACTGGCTTCCACTCGAGCGCTTGCACTGGCGGGATACATTAAAACGGGATCTTGATTGGCTGATGCCGAAGCAGACATCGAGCCTGACTAAAGTGTAGCCTCAATAGATGTCTGTCAAATGCTTGCAAAGCCCATTGGCACAATGCCTCCCCACAATGCAGTATCGGACCGAAGATCTACACAAATCCTTATCCTACAGTCTAACCAACCCCAACCACGCCACCCCAATCAAATCCATCTAATCATCCCATTCAAAGTGACATGGGCCAGAACGCGAGTTGCTCAACCCTCTTATTTTCACGAATTGCACCCTGTCGTACCATCCGAGCGCCACACACCCCACCCCACCCCAAGGCGCCCTAACCACACACACAACAACACAGCAGCAGAGCGCAAGCATACACACAACATCTCAGGACCAACACAGACACAGCGACACACCAAGCCTCTTCGCGAGGCATTTAAGGAGACACACTATCAACAATCGAGCAAGGACACATGAAGCAAGTCTACTCGAAAAATAGCTTAGCAAACTATATGTCACACCCCACAAAAAACAACCGTCAGCAGTAGTCTACAAACCCGCATAAAACTGAAAATTATTACACAACCCGTGACTATGGACATGAATACGAAATAAAGAATAGACAGATCACTGATCCAGCAGGATAAACAACAAGTACACACAATGACACATACAGACTTGGACACAGTGCAATACAATGGCACAAACAGAGACCCGAACGCATCAAAGTAGCAAGAGCCGCGGCATCCGACCATAGATCACAATGAAATTACCCTCCACTAACTCCCAAGCAGTCATGATAAACCCCGTTCAGATAGGTCTATTTCCGGCAGAACCTGGAGCCTGACTACAAGCACCAACATGGCTCTGTACTAAGACCACAAGACCAACCTTAAAGCCCATGTCGCTGCATCATCTCTCAGCGCGCACAACACAAGTAAAGCACAACACTACAACCACTAGCGACAGTAACCAAAGTAGCATACAATGAAGCGGACGAAATAGCCCACCTCGAATATAAACCAGTAACATCTTGTCGGACATCAAACAGACAGCCCTCGCTCACACATGCTTTCACACACTCCACCAGCGTGATATTCCTGTTCTTTTTATGGTGACTCTGCTCGATAGTCAGCATTCTTCCTACTAATAACCACCCCCATCGACACTCAGGATCCTCGTCTCAGCCAGCCCGCGTCACAGAACAAAACATAGCACTGCAGATTATTACATCGACTAACTAGGCTCGATCTCCTGTGCAATATAACACTTCATAAAAATTACCCACTTCCACTTGTCCCACATCTAAAACAATCCAAACATCCATAACACACCTAAAAGATCATATCAGCAACTGCAAGGTAACCTAACAACACCCCAAAGCACATAGTAAGAAAATAGTCCTGCACGCAATATGCCTAAGCACTTCATGACCACTTGCTAATCCGACCTTGTGTGGCCTGTTTGCTGCGGTGGTTTTATCATGCAGAGAGAACCAAGAGCATAATTGGACAGACCGAGCACGGCAACAGCCACTGAAGATTCAGCAGAACACCGCTTCACTTCATCACCATCCCTTCTTGCTCCCTGCTGACCCCCTTGCCACTCTCCCCCAACGTACTTTACCCCGCTGTTCGCGACACACTGCTACACGGCCGAGCGCAAAAAAAACCAGAGGCCCGCACTCAACACCCGTTTTTCCTACATCGTTCCCTCTCTAAGTCCAGCGCGACAAACCACAATCGGAGGACTGTGGATTCCCACTGGAGGCAAGCTCTGGCATCCTCCCCAATAGCAAACGGCAAGAAATAATGACATCACATTCGCAAGTTCCAACGAAACCAGATATTAATCAACACCATTGTATACACAATAAATTCCTAAAGAAACACAAAAGAAGACGGAGAGTAGTGATGCTGGCCATTCGAGATACCAACCGAACAGCGAACCAGTACGCGAAGGAGTAAGATTCCTATAGACTATTGGTCGACTATATTGAGTGAAGATAGATACAAAGCAAAATCCATGGCCGAAACTAAAAATATTTAAAATAAAAACCCTATCTCATTTGGTCGACACCTCGCGCCCTGAGCGGAAACAGAGATGCAACAACCAACATCCAGAAAACAGAAAATATCTACAACAATGAACACGAGAGCGAGCGAGAGCCGGCACAGCACACATCATAATTCAAAACAAGATACCGTCCGGAGTTCCATGCATGTAATAGTAATAAGGCAACATGAAGCCACTCCACTGCCTTTAGCAACACAATGCACAAAACAACAAAACAAAGATCTCTCTTACACATACCTCAAAAACTCCCAACTGCCTCCCACCACCCTACATGCAACTGCACCACTTTCAAACCTGCGAGCCCCTAAAAGCTACATGAACCAGACACATAAAACAACGCCATAAACAAGATAACACACTACAAATAACATTAACAGAATAGATTCCAGATCTCAGCCCATTAACCAGTAGAGTATTCAAAGGAGAAGTCCAACATCTAACACACCACTGCGAAACAAAATCACATTACATGCCATAACCACTGACACTTAGCACTAGGCCAGGCCCTAGAGATCGAAATCAAGTAACTGTGGCCCATCATGTCCGATAGCCATATAAGGATTCTGGCCACATACGAGAACGCACCGCGCAGCTCTTCGGCAGACCATCAGATGAGCAGAAAACACCTACATAACGAGATAAGGCTGGAAAGACATTAATAGAGATAAAATACAGAGGACTATAAACAAATAGTTCCTATTGCGCAAACCTACCACCCACAAACACAACGCACGTGAGTAAGCGAGACTGCCAAAAGAGCAATGACATGGCCAACACGACGTCGTTCACGCAAGACACCCGCAAGCTTGCTACATCAGCTTCACGAAACTGGAGGCACACCATGGTTTCACCATGCATGCGGTGCAGCAGAAGGCCAAGAGTCAGGCCGCCCACGTCCCGACCAACCCCCGTTCTCAAGTGCACTGGTGAGCTCTCCCAGCGCCACTCAGCGCTGTCGCACGGCGGGCGGAGATAGATGTGTTCTTGCTATTCTTGCTCGTTTCAATGCAACGACGCCAGAACCAAGAACAAACAACACCTTGTGAAAACTACCGCGCCAATAGCTCACTCGATCGACCACCGGCGCTGCCTGCCACATATACACACCGCAACGACTCGTTCACATAACGCGGCAATCACCTAAACGCTGCAGAGACGCGAGCGAACAGACAGCGCAAGCTGATCCACAACCAGCAATAGCGGCGTCACACCACACGTGACCAAGGTGATGCCCGGCAGCACATTATGGAGAGCATTTCTCGTGGAACTCACATTAACGAAGCATAAAACCATATTCACCTCCAGGTACTTAATAAAGGTTTCACGCAACAAACAATCCCCAGTCGTCTGACAAAGGTTTTATCACACTCCACATACCTCATTAATAACAACACAGAAGCCTTCGCAAAATACCGACACACATACACCTCTCACAGCGACACAAGCACACTTAAGAACGTGCGTGCAATCCCGCTCGCTGAGACTCTCGCGAGCCACCTCCGCTAACACGGCAAAATACGACCCACTCGCATGCCCGCGCGGGCCCACCACCGTCAACGCCGTCCGCACTTGCCTCCCGCCACGAGCGTCAACCAACAGCGCCTCCTCACTGGCTGGACTATTACACACAGACGCAAGACCCGCTTCAATACCGCCAAACGCAGCCATGAGCCAGAGAACGGTGACAGCACCCAACAGATCATCAATCCACCCGCAATTCACCAAAAACCAGGTAGCTTACAAAGGACTTAACCCTACGACTCGTGGATAAAAGCGCAACTGCATCTAACTAGCTAACGCCATCAGGCAACAGCCTGCAGCGACACTTCCTCAATTACGTCTCCACATAGACGCGCTACAAAGGGGCAGACCGCCCGACACAACTGGAAAATCACGGGAAGACAAAAATGCATGCACCAATTCTTTCTGAGTGCACAAGTACCGAGGAAACTTCCACACAGAATCAACTAGCAAACACCCAGAGTGCGGGAAGGACATTATTAGCATCAATCTACCGTACAAAGACAGATACATCCCTGGTCAGTCCGACTGGCTGCGCCAACAAATGAAAGTACTGCTCGCAGTCGGGCAGAGAGGGCAATAACCGAAGCAAGAGANATTAAACCTGTTTCCTTGATGTTTGTCTCTGGGGAATGGGCCGGTAGGCCTACATAGACCGGTTGCTATAATATAGCTTTTGATATTGGCGTCGGGGGTCTCAATAGCGCCATAGAGTCCCCTATCGGTTGGGGCCCTTGTGGGAACTGTTGGACCACCGCCGGGCACAACCAATTCCAGCCTCTCCTCCTGGCTGGCTGGAGAAGAAGGTTGAACAGCCACGGCCACGGATACAGCTTCACTTGTGGAGCTAGATGGCAATGATGGTGGTGAGGCAGGTGAGCTATCGTTAGCCTCTGGCTCCCCCGCTGCACGACAACATTGCTAACGTTAGCGCTCGATTTCGAGGACGATGTATGACAAAAAATAGTCTAATTTTGTCAGTTTAGCTGTTACATCTCCTTGTTCTCTCTTGTCCTTTCTCTTTTGAGCGCCGCTCTTGTGCTTTGGTTTGCTGTACATTATAAATGCAAGCTATTCCATTTTTCATAATGCTGCCGAACTTGCTGCTGCTAGCTACAGTACAGTACAGGTTGATTAAACGGTTCACTCGTCACAAGGTCATTGGACAGACAAATTACAAATTAATTTAAGTTGCTTGGTTACTTTGAAGACTGCGTGAACCGGTCAATGCCATTGGGGCCCCACA